TTTGCAGGATTTCCTGCTTGAAACTGTCAAAATAAAATTTTTGTCAATAATTTTATTGGTCATTTCCAAGATTAATAAAATGAAAAAAAAATTAAGCATCTTAATTTTTCCTTAAAACAATACAACAGGATTGGTCAACTTACAGATGAGGAATTTAAGACTCAATACCAGGTTGTTTCCCTGTTACCACATAAAGGGTGAATAACATTTATGAAATAGAAGTGCTTTCATTTGGTTATCCCAACTTTGCTCTTTAAATCACAGTTCAGTTGGCCCCTTCTTATCCATGTCCCTCTTGTAAGCTGATAGAAGGAAACAAGTCAATGATAAAGGACCAGAACTCAGTGATAGAGAAACAAAACTGGCAGAAGGATATTTAGGATGTTTCATAAACATCAAGCATTTGCTTTGGGAGTGTTGACAAAATGACTAGAGACAGTAGAAGTACAGTACAATTAGTCCATTTTACCATCTGTGAGCTAAAATGAACACTGTGGAAAAGAGTGGAGGTTCCTCAAAAGAATGAAAAATAGAAGTTCCATGTGATCCAGGTATCCCACTCCTGGGTATATATCCATAAGAAATGAAGTCAGCACAAAAGGGAGTCTACCTGTAATGGTGTAGATCTAGAATGCCCTGCCCAAAGCTTCATGGGTGCAGAAGCTTTTGGAAGGTTATTTGAGGGCAGGGGCTTTAAGCTCACCAGAGTTATCCATTTATGAGTTCAGAGTTGAGTTGGGAAGCAGGCCCTGGTCAGAGAAGCTAGAAGCTAGGTCACTGGAGATATGACTTACATGAGTGTTTATCTCTCTTTGCTTTCTGTTTCCTCTCTGCCACAAGAAGCCATTCTATTCTGTGGCCAGGTTTACCACCAGGCTGCTACTGCCTTCGAGCCAGAAGACTGCTGATTGACACCTCTAAAACCCATGAGTCAAAATGAACTTCTTCCAGTTCAAGTTTTGTGTGTTTGATATTATGTGTCAGGGAAGAAGAATGTGACCAATATCATACTAGTGTTTATTTTGGCACTGTTTACCACAACTGTTCACAATATGGGTAACTATTAACATCTGAATGGATAAATAAAATACAGAGCATGAGTCAGCCTTAAAGAACAATGGAATCCTGCCGTTATTGGGGAAATGAGTGGAAATGAGAGATGTCGTGGTAAATGGAAAAATCCAGACACAGGAAGACAAGCATCACATCTTATTTCTCACATGTGGAAATTTTTAAATGATAATGGTGACCTGAATTAGAAAATAAATTATTAGGGACTGGAAAGGGGGCCGTGAGATTGGGTAGAAGAAGGGTGGATAGATTTGATCAAGACATGATACATAAATGTATGGAAATATCCCAGCAAATGCCATAAACTTTTACAATTAATAAATACTAGTAACTACTAAGGAAAGAGCTGAGAAAATGGAGCAAGGAGAAAAGAAGAGCCGAAGCACCACATTGGCAAGTTAGCAAGTGCGGAGAGGTAACAAAGAAAGAGTTCTGGAGAAGGTATTCCAAATGTCTTATGGGGCATCCCAAAGTCACTCTCCTGTGGAATTCCTCTGCCAGATGGTATGAGGAAGAAGATAGAGTACAAATCACAACACCCAACCCAACCTCCTTTACTTCTGTTGGCTACAACTGCAGAGATAGAGAGGAAAATACTTGAATTCCTAACTTTCCTTTCACCTAGGACAGAGCATGCACCCCAGTTCTGACTAATGACCCATACTTAAATGTCACTGGGGAGAGTGACTTTTCCTAAATGAAAGACAAATCTTTCCTAAGTGTGGTAGTTAGCTTTGAAAGAGTGGAACCTGCAAAATCCATTCTTACTTGTGTACATATTCTACTTGTCTTAGTAAACAGTAACATATATTTCTCTTCTCCTTGACCTTTAGATTTGGCATGACAAATAAAATGTGGCAAAGATGGCACTCTGTCATTTCTGAACCAATGTACGAGAAATCCAGCAACCCTGAAATAGTGGCCTGAACCACTTGTCACCCAACACTCACACCTTAAGTGAGGAGAAGTATCTTGTAGATCACAGTTTCAGTCAAGTGTCAGCTGGCTCCCAGAAGAAAAAGCACAGCACAGGTGATGGAGGGGAAAAGTGCCCACCAGGAGGTATAGAGCACAGTGGGGAGCCCAGGACAGGAGCGCACACTCTCAGGCCACGCACACAGCCAGCCACTTCCATCCAGGCCCTGCCACCTACCAGCACATTTGGTTCCTGATTTATGGGTGGTCCACCTTTGAGTAAGATGTTGACATGGTTCAACCACCTTCAAACACATGAGATTTGGGGGCCAGTAAAGATCTGATCTGTGACAACCACAATCCCCTGAGGAAGCGCGAGCTGTGTGAAAGGTTATATGGAGGGAGCAATGCTCAGCCAGCCTTAGCTATTCAGTCATCACAGCAGAGGCGCCAGACCAGGCAAGGAAACCACCATCTTGGATTTCTAAGTCTGCAGATCCCACAGAGAGTAGAGCCTGAGTCATTCCTGATTACCAAACTACAAGAAAGAGTAAACTGTTCTCTTCTGGAAAAAGATTTTAAGAAGAAAATAAATAACTCCTGGAGTAAGTTTGCATTCAATACAAGCCATTTGTGCGGTATGGGTTTAATACATTGCTTTATCTGGGTTCATTTCAATTAGAAAATTAACTTTTTATTTCATAATTAGCACTTTAAAGACCGTAGTAACAGACAGGGTTAGCATAATGACAAAAACATTTTTAGAAGAATATCTAAAGTAGAGTCAGAAACTCTTAGGTAGAAACATGAAGCAAAAAGGCAAGAAAACTTGGCTACTAGAGAAAGAAAAAGTAATTCCACCAAGTAGCCAAAGACAGCCAAATGTGAAGATAGAAGCATAAGTCTGAATTCATCACAATGCTAGTCTAGCTCATCTTTTTCCATTTTTGTTCCCTTTGACACCGAAGACATTTTATGTTCTGCATCATGTTCACCATAGATGAAACTGGCTTTCTATTTCCTTTATATATCTGTAGTTTTAAAAGATCTGATATTGATGCCACTGACCTATAAATGCACGCTTGTAAGAGAAATAATTGAAAGATGTCACTAACATTACTGCAAGCCTAGTTGACATTTAGAAAGCATACATTCTGCAAGAACATCGAACAGAGGAATGCACCAAATCCAGGGCTAGTCCTGCAAGGTTGTAGCAGCTAGCTACATGTGACATAAATGACTAACACTTCAGCTTAAACTTCTTTTATCTGTAGCAAAATTACCATATAAATGTTAATCCCCAGTATTGGAAAAAATATAGATGTTGCCCATCTGTGATTTGCCTGAAACAGAGAATATGTATAAATAAAGACTAAAGCCATATTCAAAAAACGATAGAAAATTGACTGCTAGATATATTGTTATGACATGATTGAAAACAGATAAAAGAGATAGAAGTCAAAATGGGGAACACTGAATGTGAGAAACGCTAGAATTACCTTCTTAAGTACAGTACCTTACTGTTGATTTCTGCCGGTTGAGTCAAAGGAGCAGTTAATGCTTAAATTTTTCTTTCTCTCTCATTTTTAATTTTCATAACTTTTTTGATCAATTTTGCATGCTTATATCTGGAAATCTGATCAACTAATTTGAAGACAACAATATGCAATATAACAACCATTGTCGAATTCCTATTGTTTGTTTAGTGAAATTCTGTATAATTTCTGTTGTTTTTTACTATTATTCTCTTTAAATTTTTAAATACAGTACCTAATGCACAATATCAGAGAGTTTCAGATGGAGATTGAACATCTAATGAGCTTACTTAGCGCTCCCCTGGAGGCCAGCGAGTGGGTTATCTAGATATGACCTACAGAGCTACCTCTTCAGGTTCCGAGGACCAAACTATGGAAATTGTCATCATTTCAGTATCTATGGCTCCTTGACATAGTTTTTGTCCTTTCATACTCATTTCTCCTGCTGTTCTTCATTTTCAAAACTTTCATAACAACTCTTTCTGTCTGACAATTTGTCTTTATTTACAGGACAATGTTCACTGTCTATGTTGGCAGAGTTTCAGTCGATAGTCTGATTAACTACAGCTGTCTCTTCCACGCCTGCACGCACAGGTAGGGCGTGAGAGGTATGCCTGACCTTCATGGGTGTGCGCATCACCTGGAGGCCTTGCCTAGGTGGAGGCAGGGGCTCAGTCCTAGGGCAGGCACGAAAGTCTCACAAGAGGAAGCCACCTTTACCCTCTTTTTCTTTCTGAACCACAGAGGTATCTGAAGAGTTGTCTTCCCTTGCATGGAAGTAGAAAATTAATGTGTTCCCATGCTCAGGGTTATTTTCTTTTTGTCTTTGCTCTTCTAGAATTATTCTCTACATCCTGGGCCACAGATTTAAGAGTGACTGCTTTCAGAGAGAGAAAATAAATTCTAGCTTTTGGGATATATTTTACCATTTTTTAAACAAAATCCAATTATTTATGAATGATATCACTTTTAAATTTTAGTCACAAACCATTAAAGTAGTTCTAACTTGGCAACTAAATATTTTTATTTACACCTAAGTGCTTGCAAATGAATTTGTAGACTAAAATATATTTGTAATTTGAAGGCTCCCTCTCAAAATCATTTGATTCTGACCATCTGCAAGCAATATTATCATAATTAAATGATAAGAAGTGTAATTTATACATTAAATTCTAGTTAATTCCACACTCCAAAACTGTTTATCTTTTTGACATGGGAGGCATTTTCAATTTTCTTGTATGTAGGAAATATGAACTGTTGATATCTATAACTGATGATTTTTAATTGAATTTTATTTTTATAATATTTTATGTATGATTTATATATGATTTAAGTGGAAAATCATTAGAAAGTTTATAGGACAATAACAGCTGAAAGCACGTTCCTGGTGGGATGGCTTGGGGTTTGTGTGGAGCAGGGCGGTGGGCAGCACCTGCAGCGTGGGCTTTTCTGGCTGGGGACGTGTGACGTCATACTCACCCGTATGCACAGTGCGCGGCAGACACCAGCCAGGCACTGCTGACGAGAGACGCTCCACAGCTCAGCTGGCCGTTGTAAGTGAGACCAACCATCCAGGGCCAGGCCCCTTCTTTGGCATCAGTTCCCCCAACAATCTTAGGAGCAACTTCGTGGGCCACTAGTTTTTCTCCACATGCTATTAAAATAATTGAAGTACATATATTTTACTTTGCAGTACAGTGATACCTTAGGTGTGAAATTCATTGTGTTCCAAATTGGCATTTGAACATGCACAAGTTCAAAAACTGAACTCTATTTTTTTCTTTGAGACAGTGTCTCACTATTCAGTTCAGGTTGGCCTTCAACTCGCTTTGTAGCCCAGGATGGCCTCCAAGTCTCAGTGATTCTCCTGCCTCAGCCTCCCCAGTGCCAGGATTACACATGTGTGCCATCACACCCACTAACTGCACATATTTTTTTCCATAAGAAATAAAGAAAGCCAAGTGGCTGGTTGCAAGGTTCAAAACTTATACTCATAAATTCATTTCTGCTGTACTTTAAGAAGTTTTGCAATGAGTTTTTGCTTTAACTTTACCATAGTTCTCACAGTTTTTCTCTGAGTTTTACTGCTGGTATTACTGATTTTCTTTGGAGCTACGGTGATGATATTCTATATAAATAAAAACACACAGAAAAGCACAATGATGAACATTGTAATGCACTAACACAAGCATTATTAGTTGTCTGGGCCCAAGCAGCAGGGAGACATCACTCATCAGCTCATCAGCGTTGGCGGCCCGACAAGACATGTGACTCATCCTTGGCCTGGTGCAGGTTTCTCCAGGTTGCATGTTTGCTTTGACAAAAGGACAAAGTTATGAACCCTGATCATATTTTTTTTTATTTTGCTGGTTGAGAAATAGAAAGTTCAAATTTGAAACCATTTGGCAGCTGAGGAAATGCTGCATTTCTTTGGAACATTAAGGATTCAATGGTGGAAAAATTATTTTCAATGACAAAGCATTTTTCAGGAATTTAAATTGAATACTTCAAGGATACCATGACAAAATATTTACTTACATTGATGGTTACACTGCAGCCATATCAGATAATCCTGTAAGCACCGTTTACTGGAATAGAAGAATAATATATTTCAAAATAAAAGACAAAGTCCTGTAGCCTAACTTTTCAGTCAAAAGAAGTTTTTAATCCACCTATCATATGTGTATTACAAGAAGGCTGAAAGTCACAGCTGAAAATGGCCTCATCTAAAATAAAATAGAGATGTTTGCATGCTTACTTTACTGCTTAAATCTCTGTGAACAGTAATTAAGATTTTTCAACTTGATTGAATTGAGAAGAACCTTTTAGATTAGTAAAGCACAGTTTTGAGTGTGTCTGAGTGAGTCATGGAGATATGACCTTGCCTACTGTACGTGGATGGTCCTCAGCTCCTTCTGTTCTGGTGCAATTTCCTGGCTTTATCTCCAAGCCACTGTAGGCTCAGGGTTTCATCCCACCATGGCCTTCCACTACAATGTCTCTGCCTTGATGCCATCTTACCATTGACTGTATCCCCCAAACCATGAGCCAAATTAAACCTCTTCTTGAAGTTGTGGGTATCAAGTATTGTATTTCAGTTTTTCCTTACCCACAAGATGTGAGTAAAAATGATGCATAGAGTGACTAATACATAATAGACACTTTATTAGTGATCCTGACTGTGTTTTTGAGAGAATCAATCTTGGATTTCTTGATTTTACAACATAGTAGTCTGTCTTTATCTATGTGGCATTCAATCCAAGATCCCCAATAGATACCTAAAACCATAGACACCACTGAACTTTATTGTGTGTGTGTGTGTGTGTGTGTGTGTGTGTGTGTGTGTGCAGGGTCTCATATGCCAAACTTTATAATTTAATGTCTTTTCTTCATTATAAATAAATACTTACCACACATAATGACTATAAGTTTTACATATTTGGTTGTGAGCACAATCAGTTCATGGACAGAAATTATTCTTAAGATGAATTAAAGATCGTTGTAGTTTCAATTTATGATTCATTTTTCTTGTGAAATAAAATTTTCAACTTTTAAATAAAGGAAATGCCTCATGGCTTCCCTTTATCATATTCTAAAAGGCAGCATCACGACACGTGCTTTGGAGTCATTATTAAATAAAATAAAAGACTATCTGAATGCAAGCCCTGAGATACCACAAGTCAATTAGATAACTGAGTCAACTCATAAATACTAAAGAAAAGGTAGTGTTATCTGCCATATCTGTAAATGTGCTGGATGAAGGCCTTATTTCCATCCATGCATGACAGAGCAAAGCAACATAAGATCTGATTATGCTATTCAGAAAGGCATGTATTTTAAAACATACTTAGTTTTCTTTAAATCTCTATTTGCTATCGTTACACTGAAGTTGACTCTGAGTAACTAAAAGTGTGGAAAGGCAATCTTAGGTAAGGGGGAGCTACTGCAGAGAGTAACCTTAGCATTGCTAGTCCTGCCACTATGCAGTGCCAAGCCCTGTGGGAGGCTGGGAGCTTCATTCAAAGAACTGAATTATGAGTGAATCATAGTTTCTGTTTTAAGGCAGAAAGACATGTAAAAAGAAAATATAAGATAAGGGATGTGCATAAATAATTGAAGAACTTATTACTTATTCCAAAAATTTGGATGCCACCCATTTTCAATGTCAAACATTCTACTTTAAGTGGACAACAAAGAAAAATTGTTTCACAATGTGCTATACAAATCAACCACTAGAGTTCAGCATAACATAAAGAATTATAGTACTGTACTTGGCCACAAGACCTAATGCAGTTACTGCAGATATTTGGCACATTAAAACTTACACACATATTTACACAGATAATTTAAGCTATTTATATTTATGTAAGTACTTAAGTTCATCTAATTGTGCATGTTATTTAAGCACTTGAACTTTGGGCAGCAACTGAAAAGCAAAACAGAAAACAGAACAATTCTGCATGTCCAGTCATAGGAATCCAATCTTTCTGGAATAAGTTTGATAAATTTTACTTGAAATCACATATATCTATGTTGTCTTACTGACATAAGTTTTTAGAATAGAGAAAAAAATCAACATATATGCACATATATACGGAAACACATTTATATCTTATTAATAATGTTAATGTGGAAATTTATGTAGATACATTAATATATATCTCTAATATCTCAAAGAAGATCTCAATAATTCATCTGATATTCCCTTGCATTTGAGGAATATTTTCAAGTCTCATTAAAGCTCTTTCTACATTTGTAGCCATCATCAACCAATATTACTTCAAAATTGTCCCTTTTTAAGGTAACTGTAATGCATTCAGAAAGATTAAGCAATGCTTAATTTCAACCTTAAAAATACAGAACAATTTCTGATGAACTTAATAGCTAACTAGAAATTCACCTTAATTTAGTATCTCCTTTCTTACATATTTTGAGTAATTAAAATTTTCTTGTACAGAAAAAAAAATAGAAGAGTAGCCTGCTTTTTCTCTAGGCAGAATAAGCATAGAGAAAAGTCCTACTTTAACATCTGTTCCTAGAATTTGAAGAGAAACAGAATTACTGTCTGGGCACTTGTCCTGAAATGAGACCTGGGTTATTGCTGTGTGTAGCAAGAATGACAATGTCATGATCCCATGTCTTTTCCTTGGCCCGCTGAAGTAATAGATAGGGCTTACATGTACCCTTTGACAATAAAAAAGTAATTTATGTCCACATTTATGTCCAGTATGACCTTTTATCTTGTTAAAAAGTACATGCTTGTCCTTTTTTCCTTTTTTGTTTCTTTTTCCTTTACGACATTGCTGTTTAAAGCCAGCAGCTGCCTTAGGGAATCTCGAGGATAACATGTTAGAGAAGTAGAAGGCTTTGTGGCCAAACAGAGTTGGTTAGACTCTTCCCACTGTGTGTTGGCTTTGTGACCTTGTAGAAGCCAATGATCAGTCAGGTGTTCTTTTCTTCAACCTCGTGCATAAACTATATCATTCATATGTCATATATGACCACACTGTCAGAGCTTTTGCATGGACTGAAAATAACTGCAAGGATATTTCGATCGCAGTGCTGTCCCATATCAGATATTTACCAAGACATTTGATAAGCACTTTGTATAATGTGTCTACCACCAAGTTAAGAACAAAATGTTCATCAATATGTATCATGTCAGACTTTCATTCACTTCCATAACAATTATTGAAGTTGATCAAGAATTAAAAAAAAAAAAAAAGGAAAGCTATGTGCTGACAGGTGCACAAGTTGCTTAATATTTCTAATCATATCGAGTCATGTTGCTGATTGCCCTTTGGGAGGTCTTTTTGCAGTCATGGCAAATGGTGTTCTGCATCTTGTACATGTCACACAAAAGGATAAATAGTGCAGATACAAGTTAGTAGACTTTCATAGCTGAGAGAATCCTTTTCCCTGACATCCTTTTCATTTTTAAGTTTTTACTTGCAACTCACTAGTACAAGGATATTTTCAAAACCACCAGTTTTCATAAGGCACTCAACATAATCATCTTACCATTAAGCAAATAAGTGCATAAATTAACTAACCAAATGAATGAACGCATTCAAAATTTTGGCAACCCAGTAAAATATTTCTAATTAAGGAACAGATTAAGACCATTTAACTAATTGGCTTATTAGCCTGCTGAAAGTTTGTCTATTAATACTTTCTTTGCCAAATATCATGAACAAGCTCTTAATAATGATGCCAGTGTAAATTGGTACTGGCATTTTTTTTTTTGTAAACACAGAATAATGTAGTCCTGTTCTGAGGCATGCATATAATTAAATTGCATTGTTTTTGAATTTTTGTCCTTGCTTGTCCTAATTCTTAAAATGCCTATAAACATGAAAAGATGATGTTTTCCATGTACAAGCGCCTTGCAGGTCTCTAATGGTGACATCATAGTAACAAACCCTCTTGGAAGGGATCTACGTGGCTGCTTTCTCACTTGCAGATAGTTTGTTTCACTCCTGATGAGATTCATATTATCGGTTAAGGCCCCGTACACATTGATATAGGACACTCAATAGCAAGGTCCTTTTAGTGGTTCTAAAAATATTCCCCTATCAATCTATTTAACTAGTTACACTTTTGGAAATGCTAGCTTTTTTCCTCTAATAATTGCATCACTCAATGTGGTAAGCAAAATAAATTAGTATTAGCATCATAATTTCTTAACTGAAATTTCAGCTGCTTCTTATAGTTAACTTCTTCTTGCCCACAGCTGTCCTTTAATGGAACCACTAAAACCAGAAGCCAATTTTCAAATTTGAAACAAAAATTACCATTAGTGTCTAAACAGGAGAAATGTCATAAACTAAGCTAAAACAGACCTTTAAGACAGGAAGGATGCTCCTTTTTGATAAGCTTAGTAAGGCTTTCCAGAGAAACTTGGGCCTGGCATGATATCTTGGTGGTCTAAATGCCTGCTTGGCAAGTGGAAGGACCTGAGTTCAATCCCCAGTGCCACATGCAGTGCCAGCCCCGAGCTGTGCCGGCCATTGAAACACAGTGTAGGGGAGCACGCTTGTAATCCTAGTGCTGGGAAGGCTGAGATAGGATGATAACTATGAGTCTGAGTTGTGTAGTGAGGGCTTATACCAAATAAATAAATAAATAAATAAATAAATAAATAAATAAATAAATCTTTAAAGGTAAACCTAACTTAGCTAGACATGGTGGTACATGCCTGTAATTACACCTCTTGGGGGGTTGAGGCAGGAGAATCTCTGCAAGTTTGAGGCCAGCCTGGGCTACAAAGCTAGCTCAAGACCAACTTGAACTGTGTATTGAAGCCCTATCTCAAAAAGACAAAAAAAAAAAAAAAGCCTAACTTTAAAAAACAGGAGAAAATAAAGGTCCAATTAGATATTTGGGCATTTCCATTTACTGATCATGTTTTATTTGCTAAGAAAAAATTACTTATATATATTAGGCAATGTTATATCAAAGGATCACTTAGATATTGTTAGATAGTATATTCAAAGAATGCAGTAAGTCAAATATCTTTTAAGAATATATGGCCAACATGTGGTAGCATTCCTATCTGACTGGCTCCAAAGATCTATCTGTTTCAGTACCTGCACACCCATTCTAAGATCAAAAAGTTTAGAACCCACCTGGGTCTTAGTGTTAAGCTGCCATTGGGTGCTCTGTTCAAATTTACAAATGGTCCTCCTCCAGTGGATAATGTTGGTATTGATGAGTTTTCATTCCTAAGGAAGAAACATGTAGAGAAAAAATATATAAACAAAAATCTATTAACTACATTTTTAGTTCCTTAATGCAGTAGACACTGAAAGAAATTATAAGATAGAAATGGATAAACATTTTAATATAAAATTCTAACATTTAGCTACCTAATGGTTAGTTTAGATTAGTGGAAGAATTCTGTGACATTTCATGACGTTAAATTTTAAAGTTTGCAAAATTTATGCAATTTTAAATTTTGCATAGTACCACTGGTCCTATTTTATATTCTCATATGTTATAGAGCTAAAAGTCATTGCACTTATCACTTCTGTGTCTTTTTCATTTGACTTTTCTTTTTTAAATTAAGTTTATTGGTGAATTGCTGATATACCTATCAATTACATTTATCATTGGAAATTTGTACCTGTGCATGATATAGCTTGATTCTTTATTTCCCATTCCTCTACCCTACCTTCAGCCCATGTTCCTCTCCTTATTTACAAAGGTTTTGTTGCTTTGTTTCTAATTTCCATCTTTTCTCATTTTTCCCTTTTCTTTTCCTTCCTCCCTCTCCTTTTACTTAGTTCCCCTTCCCATTTGAACATTTTCTTCTTATTTCACAATATCTGTCATGCATGTTGGTCCTTATTTACACTTTCAGTTTCTCATGTTAGAGAAACAATATAGTATTTACATATGTGTGTCCAGTTTATTTCATGGGCTTAAGGTATGTTTGGCCTTAAGATGGATACATTTACTTAGAAATGTCTCGTTTATCCTGCTTTTATGGCTGAGTAGTACTCTATTGCATAAAAAATCACGTCTTTCTTATCCATTTTCTGTTGATGGACATTTGTGTCATTTTCCAGATTTAGCTGTTGATTTAGCCATCTTTGTGGCATGATTTTTTTTTATTTTTATTTTTTTTCCTGTATTTTAGGGAAGGGTCTACAGGGTGTTCAGGGTCTCACTACTAGATCAGACTCGTAGTGATTCTCCTGTTTACAGCCTCCCAAGTGCTGAGATTCCAGATGTGTGCTACCACACCCAGTCTCAATGGTCCTCTCAGTGTGCCCCAAGGGCAGGACCAGCACAGTAAGCCAGGGATTCAAACCCCCAGCCCATGCACCTGCTTGCAGGCACTTTAATCCACTGAGCTATTTGGCCAGCCATCTGATACGATGTTTTTATATTTTTCAGGAAGACACCAAGAAGGGAAATGGTTGGATTCAGTGGCATGTCTAGTCCTAGATTTTTGAGGAATATCCACACTGCTTTTTCCACAGAGGTTGCACCAACCTATACTCCCACCAACAGAGAAAATGGGTTCCTTTCCTCCCTGCAGCCTCACCAGCATTTGTTATTGTTTGGCTTCTTGGTGATGGTCATTCTTTCTGGGGTATGTGGAATCTTAGAATTGTTTTAATTTGAATCTTTTGAATGAGCAGTGATGTTTAACATTTTCAAATATATGTATTTGTCTTTTGTACTTCGCCTGAGAGCAGGATCTACTCATTGATGATGCCCATTTTTGGAGAGAGCCCTTAAATTTGGAGACTATGATTTTTTTGAATTCTTGATATATTCTAGTCCTTTATCTGAGGAATAACTGAAAATAATTTTTCCCATTCTGCATTTTCTCTTCATTCCATTAATGATTATTGGGGCCTGCTCTTTAGCTCAGTTCTTTAAGTGGCTGCTTCAACAAAGCAGTCAGGCTGAGCACAACTCAAGCCAGCCAAACCTGCCCTGAAGGCATTCAGAGAAAAAAAATCCCATTAATGATTATTTTAATTTTAAAAAGAAGAAAAGCAACAGTAAAACAGAGCTTCAAAACAGGCTGTTAAAGTAACTATAATTACCACATTGTGCATTGTTATTTTCACAGTAGTTACTTAGAGTATAAGTTATAGGCATGAAATATTGTCTAAACAATATTAACACAAACTTTTCAATGAAACTAAACTTATAATTTCTTTTGTTGCATTTAAAGGTTTTTAATGAGATCCCAGTTGTTGGTTCTTTATAATATTTCATATGCAACCTGGGTTTTGTTCATTAAAGTCTTTTCGTACACCCATGTCTTCGAAGGACTAGATTAGAAGATACAGAAACACCTCCAAACACACTCAGCCACCTGTCTTTGGGAAAGGGGCCAAATACCTTCACTGGAAGAAGTATAGTCATTTTAGCAAATGGTGCTAGGAAAGCTGATTTTGTACACTCTGAAGACTACTGGGCATGGTGGTACACCCCTGTAATCTCAGTGCTGGGAAAGCTGAGCCAGGAGAATCACTGTGAGTTCGAGCTGCATAGTGAGACCTTGTATCCAATAAATAAAATATCCAATAAATAAAATAAAATAATAAAAAAATAAACAGAGACTTTAAGTCTGCAGGGAGGCAGAATAAGTAGAAGTTGTATGACTTTTCCACGTTGCCCAATAACTTTTGTTTCTGCTGTGGTGTGGTGATTTTGTTTTGTTTTCATGTAGTAGGGATCGATCCCAGGTTTTCCACACAATCACCAAGTTGCATACATGCCAGCCCTTTTCATTTTCTGAGACAAGGTCTTGCTTAGTTGGCTAGTCTGATTTTGAACCTGTACCTTTCTACCCCAGCTCTTGACTAGCTGAGATTATGTGCACCTCCTACTACTTTCAGGTGTCCTTAGTTTACCTATATGATGATCAATCTGAATGACATTCTTGCAGGATTGCTGCACCATTCTGCAGGCCTTTCTTTTATTGAGCAGGATTCATGCTTTAAAAAGATGCACGGGGCCACAAACAACAAGCAAAGAAGATTTTCCGTATTCCTTTTCAGTAAGTTCCTACATGCTTGACTTTTCATTCAATTCAAAGCTTAACAAACTCTATAACTAGAAGCTATATGATTTATGAGAAAGAGGGAGTGTGTCACTTAGATTTTTAAGCATCATTGGTGGGTCACCACAAGACAAGAGACACTTAATCCCTAGGCTTTCTTTTCCCAGAAAAATCTATTGAATTCTTTTTCGACAGATTGAAGATTTCTCTTAATTATCCCCATGCTCTTCTTCAGGCTCAGCTAGAGAGTTTCTTTTGCTGTCAATTACTTATCCTCTTTCTTGTCTTCAATGTATTGCAGATTTTAATCTTTGTATAAAAATATGCCTGTAGGCTAGCACATCCTGATTCAGTCATATTCTTTTGGGCAACAAGAACTTGACGTATCTCTTTGCTAACATAATTAATTGTTGCTTTTCCAATAAATCGACCTGGTGTCTTCCTTGGACTATAGTTAACACTGGCCCTTTGCTATTTGTACATAGGGAATTTTCAAGGAACACGTAGAGCTGTTATGATAAATGAGAATAGGGCTGGGTAGAGCACAGTCCCTGTTTCTTTCAATGAATGAATTGAGAGTATATCTGGGATATTTTATCTCCTAAACAAAGAACTGAGACAATGGAGACTCTATTTAATATTACTGAACTCAGAATCATGTTGTTTAATTTGATAAATAGATAAACATAATTCAAGCAAAGAAAGCCATTACTATTCCCTTAATAAAACCCAAAATAGGCTTACCAAAAGAAAGATGAGCCTTATGATTGCTATTGTTAGAGATGAACTCTTTCCCCTTATGAGGACAGAAGGATCATTTTATCTCAGTGTTTATATAAATGAATTTAGTATAGCTTTGGAAACAAAGCAGGCATGAAGCACTTAGAGAGTACTGACGGATTTAGGTCAGAAAGGTTCTCAGAAGGTCATGAAAGACCTCCTCATGCAAACTAGTTGTACTCTTAAGGACTGACACATTTGCAGAAAGGAAAATTTCACAACAGATCACTGAAAACTTGGAATTTGTCACTGGTAAAGATTCTCGTAGAAGTCTTCATGAAAATCTTGACTCTTGAAAATGTCAAAGAATATTTAGTTATATTTGCATTGCCTAAAAACTCCTGATACATCATTGATCTGATTAGCGCATACTTTTGCCATGAAGTTAAGGGTTGTAAATCTTAGTTACCTTCAATCTCCCTGTGACACAGCTGTCTTCTTGTGTTCACTTATGTCCCCACATCTCAGTCTGCTGAGTGTCTGCCTTATGTTGAATACTTTCTAAATAGTTTTTGTTGTTGTTGTTGTTTTTGGGTTTGTTTGTTTTTTTTTTCAGAACCGGGGATTGAACTCAGGCCCTTGTGCTTGCCAGGGAAGTGCTTATTCCACAGAGCCATCTCCCTGGACCTTAAATAGTTTTTTTACCCCATTTATCAAAATGCACATTTTATTAGGACAGATCATTTTGTTTCTTCCCTTCTGAGTTTACTTCTTATCCTCCATCTAAGAAATTTTATTTGCCAGGGAATGGGAAATACTTCAGGGCGAAGTATCGTCCCAAGATAACCAAATTATAAAAATTTCAATGAGCCCAATGGCATGTTCAAGACCACAGAATATTTTTATAAACAATTAAAATTAAGTAAAGACAAGCCCAACACATTTCTTCTATACCTCTCCCAGTTGTATATATACTTGCGGTTTGTATCTTGGGGACTTTGTTTTTACCATTGTGGCTAGTTACTTAGAATGTATGCACGATGAAAAGGTAACAGATCTCTAAAGATTACAAGTGTTTATAAGTTGGCAAGTGGAACATAATGAAATGGAAGAAACTCACAATAACTCTTGGACTCCTGGAGATCCTAAGACATGCTACAAAAATATGTCTTTATTCTTAGGAAAATATAGTTAGAGCTAGATTCCTTATGCTATACATAAAATCTTAACATTAGAAGCAGTACAGTATAGTAAGATAGTTTTTGAACTGATCTCCAAACAAGCACAAACCACACTACACTGAAAAAAAAAAAACCAGAAAAACCAAACCAAACCAAACAAAGAACCAGGTAATTTGAGGTTTTTGGCAAAACACAGTACTTCACACGCCTAATCCAAATCAAAGAGCCTGCAGATACTTATCAGTGAGATGAAAGAAATGAAATAAATATAAATTCTATGGATAAATAAATGTAA